CACACACACACACACACACACAGAGGAAGCTCTGGTGGCCTAATGATAAGAAGCTGTGCACAATCTTGAGGTATGCTGTTCGGATCCACCAGCTCCTCCATTGGAGAAGGATGGGCAGTCTCCTCCTGTGTGATATACAGCCTCTGAAAAACTGCCAGTGACTCAGCCGTGGGCCTGGTCTAACTCAGAGGCACACAACAACAAACAGCATAGATAGATAGATAGATATTTGACAGTATTAAAACACATTTATTATTTTTAAATATACTAATTTAATTAAGCCTTCACATGAAACTAGTTTGAATTCATAAAATGTTGGCATATTAATATTTTTTTTTTAATAACAAAATCTGCCCGTTAGGAAGAGGTTTTTCTGGTTCTTTGCGTAAGCAATATGGGCAGATTTAAGACTTAAGAACTATACCACATTCTTGATATGTTTACTCTTATATTTGCAATATGTAAATAGTGACCTGTTTCAGTAGCAAATCTAGCATTTTAAACATAAGACCTAAATTGGATCTGCCATTGTGACTGTCAGTTAGAAATGAATTATTAACCACCCTTTTCCCAATTAACCACAATATTTTCTTTGGCTACTAAATTAAGGAGTTAGATTTGGCATCATGAAACCCATTCTCATAATTTAAGAAAATTTTAAAAAAACCCTTATATTTGACGTAAATACACAGACTCTGATTAGTCTGGAATACGGAATGATTATAAATGAAGAGCTCTCTTGAAAGATGAATACAAGACAATTTTTAAAATAACTTTTTTCACTTGGTTATTTTCTAGATACGCCTATTACTACTCAGGTTTAGGTGCTGGCGTTCTTGTTGCTGCCTACATTCAAGTTTCATTTTGGACGTTAGCAGCTGGCCGACAGATTCGAAAAATTAGGCACAAATTTTTTCATGCTATTCTACGACAAGAAATAGGCTGGTTTGATAAAAATGACATCACAGAACTCAACACTCGGCTGACAGAGTAAGTATGCGTGAATGCCACACTTTCAAAAAGAAATGAGCTACTGTGCAAACACTTGCCAAAGCGAGATCTTTTTTTTTTAAATCATAAAAGTTTAAGCAATTTATTGGGAATAAATTATTTGATGGCTGTTTCTAGAAGCATTTACAGCCTGTGCTACCATGTGTTTTTCGCATTTCTTCATTTTCCTCCTCAGTTGTGTAGTTGGTTTATGTAAAGCCTCATCCATGTGTTATACTTGTTTCTCTCTCGTGGATCCCACCACAGGACCTCACATGTGCTAGATACTCAGTAAAGACCATTGAATGAGAGAGTAGGGGAAAAAGGAATGAACTGACTGAAACTTATCCTAGTAATTGTTAACTCTGCTTATTCAACAAGGGAGCTCTGGTGGCATATAGTCCGTTGGAAGTTGCACTGCTAACCCAACAGCCAAGCTCTCTCTCGTTTTGTTTTGTTTTGTTTTGTTTTATTTGTTGCGTGCTGTCGACCCAGCACCAATTCATAGTTGACCATCCCGTGGTCTTTCAGAGGCAGTTAATCACACAGGAGGATTCTACATTCTTTTTATGCAGAGTAGCTGGTGGATTTGAACCACATGCTTTTGGGATTGAAGTGGGTATCCACCAGGCTACCAGTGCCCTCTACTGCTCTGAATCCCCCAGTAGCTACTTGAGAGAAAGATGGCAGTTGCCTCCTCTGTGGGTCTACAAAACTCTTTGAAGAGTCAGCTATGAATCAGTTCTGACTTGATGTCAATGTGAGAGAGAGAATTTATTCAACAAATATTTGAGTACTTATTTTGTGCCAAACACTGTTGTAGATGTTTAACAGGCAACAAAAATGAATATTGCTGACCTTTTGGTGATTAAAGAAATTCCTGCAGGAGAGATATATGATAAGCAAGAAATAGAATAAATAAGGAACTTATATACTGAGCAGTAAATTAGATGGTAAAACAATTAAGTACAGCAGACCAAAGGTATTCGGATTGACCAGGGAGTGAGGAAAAGTTGTACATTAAAATAGTGTGGTCTTTCTAAAGGTATCAGTTAAATGAAAATTTGAAAGAGGTAGGAGCTATCTGTGAGAAAATATTACACAAATCACCCTGTGCAAGCCCTTAAGGTAGGACGGAGTGTCTCTGGAGAATCTTTTTTGATGCAGTAAAAAACAAAAAACCCCAAAAAAAACCCCAAAACCAAGGTCAAGGCATTTACAGCCTTATCTCTCTCTCATCTGTCTCTTCTCTGTCTCTTCTCTCTCTCTCTCCCTCTCTCTCTCTCTCTCTCATTTCCATAGTCGGAACCCATTCACAGCTGACTCTCTAGTGGATTTTTAGAGACTATTTAATCACATAGGAAGAAATTGCCCATCTTTTTCCTTCAGAGCTTTTAGTGGATTTGAACCAGCCTCCTTTATGTTAGCAGCGCAACTCTCTGTACAGGCTCTGTTAAAGCAGCTCAGATAGCATAGTCAGAGTGCTGCATTGCTAATCAAAAGGTCAGGTGTTTCTGGTGGTTCAAATCCATCAGCTACACTGAAGGGGAAGGATGAGTCTCCTCTCATTAAGACTTAAAGCTTCAGAAACCCAATAGAGGGTTGCTGTGAGTCAGAATTAACTCAGTGGCAAAGAGTTTTGAGTGAGGCCTTGATTGGTTTACCTCTGAAGGAAATTAAATAGATGGTTCTAATCCAGGAAGAAGCATGCTTTAACTTCTGTTTTCAAAGGTTCACACCGTTGTGCTGAGAAAGGGCTGTGTCCTGCATAGAAGGACAAGAAGCCATTCCTTATTACCCCTGATTTTATGCAAATTGACATGTATGTTCAAAATGTTAATGTTTTTCTAATAGGATTAATTAATTTAATAGTGTCACTTTTAATAATATTCATTTCGTAGAAGCTTGAATTCATCCTGAATCCTCTGTGCACCACTTAGGTGAGGAAGTATCATCCAAGATTTTAAAAGAGGCTTGCGTTAAACAAACAAGTTGCATCTATGTCTGTTTGTTACATGTCTACTTCGCCTTGCTAGCTGAACACCTCCTGCCTGTAACCACCTAGGTGTGATCTTTTTTTAGTGACATCTCCAAAATCAGTGAAGGAATTGGTGACAAGGTTGGAATGTTCTTTCAAGCAGTAGCCACGTTTTTTGCAGGATTCATAGTGGGGTTCATCAGAGGTTGGAAGCTCACTCTTGTGATAATGGCCATCAGCCCTATCCTGGGACTCTCAGCAGCTGTTTGGGCAAAGGTATGTGAAACCTGAAAATTAGCATGTGCCTGGGAGTAAAAGGATATCCTGCTTGGAAAGGTGGAAGGGCAGCAAAGGAGAAGACGACCGTGAAAGAGTTGGCAAGTATGTCAGAGATGGTGAGGATGACACGGAATAGGACAGGGTTCATGAGATCACTAGGAGTCATGTGCAGCTCAACGGCACCTAACAACAACACCAATTGTTATTTTTAACATGCAAGGTTCTGGTATTTGTACATCTGCAGATCAGCATTGAATGTCATTTGAAACCACATCTGACAGTAGGTTGTTAATATGTTGCCTTAATGAAGAATCTTATTTAATTTTTTAAAAATCTTATTTTTAATGATTCAAAATGTTCTCGTTCTCACCTCAATCACAGATTTTCTGTACCATGGCTATTTCTTTGATTAAACCTTCTAGTATAACAGTTTAAATTGTATATGTGGTTATTTCTTTATTTTAGGAAAGACAATTTATTTAATACCACATTCCTGCAAGTTCTTTCATGAATCAATATGAAATTTTTCAATTAAGTTTGTACTTTTAACATGGATTTTTAATTGTTACTCTGACAGTTAGATGGTCCTCTCCTAGTGCTACTTTGCAGTAAAATACTCCTAATGTACTCTGTTTAGCCAACATTGCAGAGTAGAGAAATCTTACTGGCAGTTTTGACCCATTCTGAGGTTGATCATTTACTGAGTGAAGTATTTGTATCTCTCTTATTTTTCTTTTTCTTTTTTATGTGTGGCATGTCTTTTAGCCATCCAATTATTCAATAGCGTTCTCATGAGTAAATCTGGAAGTATTGTGTTCATAGTAATTAAAAATCATGACATGATGAAAGAAAGACTAGTGAATTCTCTCAAGCAGTTAAATTGTATACTATTTTACAGTCAACAGAGAAGAAAACCTGTAGTAGATGTGGAACCTGACAACATTTACAAAAATGCAATTTGGATATTTACGTGTAGCTTTCCTTTCCCCAAGTCATCTTGGAGAGTCTGACTGGAATGGATCAGACCTAACCTGTGTAGGGAGTGGAAGTGGCCATGAAAAGTAGTGCCTTGCTGTTTAGAGTGGCCATTACTCAGGAACTGGGGAAAGGATAGGGCTTGAGAAGAGAAGAGTAAATTAAAGGGCTAACTAGATCATCTTGAACTTTTCCCCCTATGTAAAGTCATCACTCTTTTTCTTCTATCCAGATACTCTCGGCCTTTACAGACAAAGAACTAGCCGCATATGCAAAGGCAGGTGCTGTAGCGGAAGAGGCTCTCGGGGCAATCAGAACTGTGATCGCTTTTGGGGGACAGAACAAGGAGCTGCAAAGGTCAGGAAGGTTCTTCTTGTCCTTTTCCATTTTGAACTCACATTTTGTTGCTTTACCTTTTGTGGTGTTCATTATTTCCTACCCCTTGTGGTACAAGATAGGACGAGGTGATGATCTTGTTCATAGGGTCGCTAGGAGTTGAAGTTGACTCAACAGCACCTAACGACAACTGGGCAAAAAATAAACATAGTTTAGTGACGACTATATTTTCACTCAGGTGAGGGTCTACAGTAGGAGTTCTTAAATTTTACTTTTCCACAGACTCCTTTGGCAGTCTCACTTCTCTGAAAAATGTTTTTAATTTTGTGAAATCAAATACATTGGATTGCAGAGAAAACCAATTATATTGAAATACAGCTATAAAACATTTCAATTTAACTCTACTGTTAACTTGCTAAATAATAAGATGTAACGACCAGTCTTATAGTAGCAGTAATTTCAAAGTAAAATGTATATTTAAAATATTTCAATGTGTCTATAACAATTATGATGTTTTTAAAAAAACACTGAGTAATAAAATTCTAGTTAATACTTACAGTACCTTAGTAGGGAGCTCTGGTGGCCTAGTGGGTTAACAGTTGTGCTGCCATCCCAAAGGGAAGGAGTTCAAATCCGCTAACTGCTCCACAGGAGAAGAATGGACAGTCTCTTCCCATGAGATTCACAGCCTCTGGAAGTCCACTGGAGGGTCAGCTATGAGTCAGGGCCAACTCAATGGCACATAACAACATACTATATTTGTAGTATGATACATGGAGGGAATGCTGAATTTTATTTAAAGGTTACTGAAAATATGTGATTGTTTTGCATTCAAGTTCACTCCTTTACCATGTGGCCCATGTCAAGTACCCTGGCTTCAAAAAATATGATACACAAAGACTAAATGAAAGTCCCACAATTAAAGGTACTCTGCTCAATGTAAATGTTGCCAATTAACTTTATTTTTAAAATAACATCTGCTAATGATGTGTATGATTCCATGTAAAATATTTCCTTTTGAGTTCTGTAGAACTCTTGATTCTCACAACTCTTAGAAATAAAAATTTTCTCTGGATGATCTCCAGCATTGAAAACAAAGATCCCCTAATCTCTCCATCTCATTTTCTATTTTCCTATTCCTAAAGCCCTCTTCTAAACCATCATGTTCACAATTCTCTAACCTCTTCCTTTTTTCTCTCTCACTGCTGCTTCCTGTACACAATAGTCCACACAGACCACACTAACCCTCAGTTGGACCTCAGGATGTCAGTGTAATCAGTGCCGCTCCATTAGCCGCGGTAAGAGAGCCGCCTAAGTGAAGGTAATTACAGCATGTCCACCACTGTCACTGGAGCCTTGTGTCACATTACACATTGGGCCAGATGTGAACCTTCCTGAGAGTGCCTTGAGGCCCAGCCACACAGGAGTAATCATAATGCTGAACGAACGTGGCATGCTGGCTTTATTCTGAGACCTGGCTCTGCTGGATGGATACAGCACCCACATTTGAGGGGAATTCACTCAAGTGTTGAGTACTTTCAGGGATTAAAAAGACGAACATTTTGGTGGAAGCATACTTGTATTTTTTCCTTTTCCTTCTTCTTAACTAATACATCCCCATGCTTCATTTGCCTGAAATTTTTTAAAGTGGTGCTGTTGGGGTTTTGTTAGAAACAGAAGCACCCTAATTAGTGTGATATTTTCTCTAAAATCTCATTATGTAATCTTTGGATTTTTTGAAAAAATAATTCAAGAAGCAAAAATTACATTTTCATGGGTCTCTAATGAGGAAAAAGTAGATTTAATTTGACATAAAATTATTACAATGTATCAGAACCAGTCTGGACAGTTCTATCTTGACACCAAATCCAAGAATCCAGTCATATCAATTTGAGTTGCTATTCACAGATATGATGATATACTGAGCAAAATTCAAGAAAAGGTGAAATCCTAGCACAAAAAATGTAATAAAAATAGGAATAGGAATTATCAAGTTTTTCCAGTTATGTGTCAAACACTGTATCAACTTCTGTCTATTAGCATATAACCACTTCACGACTATTTTGCAAGGTAGGCATTATTGACTCCATTGTACAAATGCCAAGACATCTTAGAAAGTTGAGTAAGAACTCCTATCTCATGAGCAGGGACTACTTTATAGCATTGTACTCTGGCTTGACAGTGTAAGGACAGCCCAGTCAGAAACTTTAAAAAATTAGAGAAGCCCAAATTTATGTAGAAGACCATGTGAAACTCCTGCCTCTCTCACACAAGGGCAGTAGTGGGGAAGCCACTTTTTCTTTTCTCCAGTAGAGGAGAGAAATTGAGTTAGGAATCTTAAGTGTTTTGAGTCCTGAAACTATTCACATTTGGTGCCATTTTAGTTGACTTGATTTTTCTCCTTTTATTTTAACCTGCCTTGTGAGGGTGGCAGGGTGAAGGTAATATCATTCCATCTTCCAAGGTAGAGTATCCAATTCTGGAATGGCCATGGGAAAGTTGGTTGGACTGGCATAAGTCAATGAAAGTGGGTTCAGGCTGGTAAATAAAAGGCTCAGATCTGTTCTAGCCCTGGCTGCTCCTGAATTGATGAAATTCCTAGGGAACTGGGTCTTACCAGGGGTTATTACCTAAATGTTTTGTTCCTTGAACCTCCAACTATACAGGAAGTGAGTATGGTTCATACTATGGCTTCTTTTTCATATTATAATATTCTTTCATTTTCTGATAGGTATCAGAAGCATTTAGAAAATGCTAAAAAGATTGGAATTAAAAAAGCTATTTCTGCAAACATCTCAATGGGAATTGCCTTCCTGTTAATATATGCATCATATGCACTTGCCTTCTGGTATGGATCCACTCTGGTGATATCCAAAGAATATACTATTGGAAATGCAATGACAGTAAGTTGCTCTTTAATATTCGTGAAGAACCTGAACATGTTTTTTCTTCATCTACCCTTTTTTTTTTTTTTTTTGCTACATATTCTTGGCAAAACCTGGGCTATCATTTTATACTTTTGTCTTTTCATTAATCTTCTTCACCAAATTTTTATAGCTGGCCTTTTTGGGGTATGTTGTTGTTATCAAGTGCCATTGAGTTGAGTACAAATCATAGCGACCCTGTGAACAATAGATCTGAATCCTGTCCTACCCTGTGCCGTCCTTGCCATCTCTGATACACTCACGTCCATTGCCGCAGTCACTGTGTCAATCTACCTAGTTGAGGGTCTTCCTCTCCTTTGTCATCCCTCCATCTTTCCAAGTAGAATACCTCTCTCCAAGGACTAGCCTCTCCTAGAAACATGCCCAAAGTATATGAAATGTTGCTTTATCATCTCTGTATTCCTTTGGCAGTCATTGGGATATTCAGTTCTCTAACCCCACAGTTTAAAGGTATCATTTCTTCTTCTGTCATCTTTATTTGTTGTCCTGCTCGCAGATGCAGAGCAAATGGCTGAAAAGATCATGGCTTGAATCAGGCACACATCAGTCTCCAAAGTGATGTCATTACTTCTCAATAATTTGGAGAGGTCCCTGACTACAGACTTTCCCAGTACAATACATCTCCTGATTTCTTGACTGCTCATACCAAGTGTATTGATTGTGGATCCAATAAAATTAAGCCATTGACAGTTTCAGGCTTTTCTCCATCTATCATGATGTTGCCTTTTGGCCCAGTGATGAAGTTTTTTGTTTTCTTGATGTTGAGATGGAATCCATATTGTAGGTTGCAGTGTTGAATGCTCTGCAGCAAGTAATTCAAGGCCTCCTCACTTTCAGCAAGTGAAGTTGTGTTATCTGTTTAATGAAGGCTATTGATGAATCTTCTTCCAATCCCAATACAAAGCATAATTATGAGTGGGAGGAAATACAATAGTATGTAATTAGGCCAATCAACAAATATATATACATAATAGGTAAAAGGAAATAACAGTTAAATGAACTTATGAAGAATGAATATGAGTTTGAGTCATCTTCATGGTGCTATTGAGTTTCACTGTATAAAAAAATGTAATTTTACATAGGTCACTGTATATAGTAAATGTCAAATTCACATAATATAAAACATTCTCTGTAAAAACCTGAACCTCTTTATAAGTCTGAACTGACTCAGGCTGACCCTCCATTGAGTTTCTGGAGCTGTAAATGGAACAGGAAGAGATTGCCGGTCTTCTACGGAGTTGCTGATGGATCCGAAGGGCCTTTGAGTCAGCAGTGTGGCTCCCTATGGATAATGCCACTGGAGATCCCTATAGAGTTGTTTTGAATGATTGATGTTTGTTTTCTTTTCCAAAATAACTAGTTTACTTTTTTATGTTAAAGTGACATATATCCTACAAAATATTAAGATACAGAATTGGGAAAAATATAATTAATTAAATATAAAAATCTATATATGCCTAAAAAAATCTATATATGCCTAATAATAATATTTTAAATATATTCTTCAGATCATTTTCTGTATTAACTTATGAAGAATGTTTTCCCTTTGTTTCAAAACTTCTATATTATATATACCTTTTAAACTGTTTCATAAGCTGTCAGTGTTTGGGATCCATCTTACATGCCAGTGAAAATTGGAACATGTAACTATTAAACAGAAAAGTCTTTAAAAAAAGTCTTTCAAAATCTTGTCTTCTGAAAATAATGAACATAATTTGGGTCATTATGACAATTAGAAATTTTTAAATGCTTTGAAGTAATTTTTACAGTGATAGCTTTAGACTCTATTGAGCTTGCTTGGGCTATCTTGTTGGGTGAACTTCTTCAGTTCTTGAATTTTTTTAAGAAAGAATTTTGTTTTCCTCTCTGGCTAGCAGTTTGATGATTATCTCTACTTTTCCACTTCCTCATTTATTATTGAAGTTTTATGAAGAAAGGAGACTGGATCCTGCCCCTGTCCTTTGCCTTTTGTGATGACTTTGTCCTCTCTGTTCTCAATTTCCTCCGCTGTAGTGTATAGGGACATGAAATCCACATCATATGACTGAGGGGTCTGAAGTCAATAATGAAAGGAACCCAAGAATGCACCTTTCGTAAAGTACAGGAACTCTAGTACAGGAACTCTCTTGCATTAACTTGATAGCTTCTGTTTTGGAGGAGTGGCATCCACTTCCATAATAGCTTGCCTCCAGAAACCCTATGAACCTGGAGAGAGGATGAAAGGCACCCAAGTGTCGAGGAGTCTTCCTCATAGAGTTGTTATGAGTCGCCTGCAACTCGGCGGCACTTAACAACAACAACAACACAAGTTACCAGTCTGTCTTTATATTTCAAATAGTGGATACATATTTGGCAAATAATTGGGTTTTGAGTATGTGAAGTTCTATTACTATTATCTTCTGAGGAAATGAGTTTTCTCATCATGCCCAGAAATTAATGAGTAAATTATCTTTTTTTATGCTTGCCTCAGTGAAGTTATGATAAAAATTTGGATTCCCAAGGCAGTAGTCTTGGGTTTTCTATGTAAATGTATTTCCCTAATTAAAATAATAGTGAAAGGAGAGAGTGTTCAGTTTTGTGGGGGAAAGTAAAGAATCATCATGTGAAGGAATTCTTAACCAGTGTTCGTATGTTCAGTTTAGTGTTCTGTAAGGTGAAAACTGCCACTGTGTATGTATAGGAATACATATCTAAAGGAAATAATATATCTTTAAAGGGAACTTCTTAGAAAAATTCCTTGGAACTGAATTCTAATCAGATTCTTACATTGTTTCATCTTGAATATTCTGTTTAATACCATGAATTTAAAACCACATAGGGTTGAATAATAGTATGGATGGAAAATGTTTCTTTCTGACACTATGAGTTACAAGGTCAAGAAAACATGATTGAAACTCTTCCTGAACCTATTTAATTTCAGGAAAATATTAACAGATAATTTAGCCAGCTGATTCAGGTTTGGAAGCAGAAGTGGTATTCACTTCCTATATCACATGCCTCTAGACACTATATGAACTTGGAGAAATTACAATAGTTATAGAAAGACTTCAGGACTTTTGGAGAGAGAGAGAGAAAGAGAGACAGAGAGATATCCCTTGTATTTAAAAGTCAGTTAGGCCCCAGGGTCTTGTGTTATTTTATATTGGAGGAACATTCTTCTAAGTTGTATAGCACTCCTCTATCAATTTGCTGCACTGAGGTAATCTGGGTTTGCTGTGATGCTGAACCTTGTGTTATTAAGGGGTCAAATGCCATCATGGCTTCCATAGTGTTTGGTGGAGCTCCTAGTTTAAGACAGGTTTGGAAACAGGAGTGGCATCCACTTCCTAAACCACAAGCCTCTGGAAACCCTATGATCTAGGAGAAACAATTATAGTTATAGAAAGGCTTCAGGCCTTTTGTTCACAGGGTTGCTATGAGTTGTGCTTGACTCGATGGCAATCAACAACAACAACACAGGGGAAAATAGCAAGCTCTGGTGGCCTAGTGTTAAGAAGCTGCACTGGAACCCCAAGGGCATGCAGTTCAAGTTGACCAGCTGTTCCGCAGGAATAGGACGAGCAGTCTCCTTTCAAGCGCTTATCTATCTCTGAAAATCCACTGGAGGGTCAGCTATGGGTCAATTCCAACTCGATGTACACACCACCAATAACAACAAAGGAGGAAATATGTAATTTTTATATTGGAGAAGCCCATTTATGTAATGGAATTCTGTAATAGTCTTAAGAATTTGCTTTATTGCAAATATTAAAGGAAAAGTACAAATGTAGTTCTTTATGCAGTATGTTTCAAACAAACAGTATTTTAGATACTAATATATGCCAAAATGTGACTAATGATTTTCACTCCTGTTTTTTTGCTCAGGTCTTTTTTTCCATACTAATTGGAGCTTTCAGTGTTGGCCAGGCCGCCCCATGTATTGATGCTTTTGCCAATGCTAGAGGAGCAGCATATGTGATCTTTGATGTTATTGATAATGTAAGTCACTTAGTCTTTTAATACCAAAAGTCTTCAGTACTCAGATAATAAAATCTGGATTTAGGGTGTGTATCATTTAAAGTTTAAAGGTAAAGTTTAAATTGTGTGAAAATAAAGAAATGACCTCCTTGATAGTGAGACAAAAGTGCCTTGTCATAGCTTGAATTGTGTCCCAATCAAAAGTATGTCTATCTGCTTGTCTGGGCATTGTTCTCAGTGGTTTGGGAGTTAGGTAATAATGTAATTCTGCAGTTAGGTAATGATGTATTCACTGCCCCTCCATGATGTGATCAACCAAACTGTCGTGAAGAGTTACAGTAGAATTCATAACCTTCAATCAGGTTAGAATTCTGATCCATTGTAAGAATAGTTTCCATGGGATGTGGATCAAATCACTCTTCATCTTAAAAGAGACATAAGGAGAAAGAAATGAGCAAAGAAGGAGGCACATAATTCCAACAACAACAAAAACAAAACAAAACAAAAAAAACCAACACACCAACCAAGAGCCAGGAATGGAATGTGTCCTTGAAACCTAAAGTCCTGCACTGAGACCTTTTACAAATAGAAGACAGATGACAAACCACATGAAGATTGTTCATGAGTAGAAACTCAAAGAGACAAGATAGATTGTTTCTCCAGATCTACCTATTTATTCACTCATGGATAAGTATTTGATATTTCCCTGGTGATATGGTAGATTAATTGGACTATTAAATGGAAAGGTTTACAGTTTGTATTTGCCAGCTTCTCTGTGGAAGAACTTGAAACAACACAAGGGATACATATTTACAGCCTTGGAAAGTCTATGGAAGAGCAGTTCTGCTCTCCTCTGGAAAGCTGCTGTGAGTTGGACTAGAGTCAACTTTTATTACTGTCGTGCAGAATTGTGTATGTGATAGTGTCAACTTCTGCCATCTTTGACTTTGGTGTACATTCCAGTGTCTTCTTTTTTTCTTGATTGTGTTCTGCTGACACCCCCCCCCTTTATTGGGTATTGTCTTTCTCTTAATACATGTCTACTACCTAGTTAGCAAGGATCTCTGGTGGCTCAGTGGTAAGGAGTTGTCCTACCAACCCAAACACATGCAGTTCGAATTCACCATGAGAGAAAGCTGGGAAGTCTATTCCTATGTAATTTACTGCTTTTGAAAACCCACTTGAAGGGTCAGTTATGGGTTGGCTCTGATTGGTTGATACAAAACAACAATAGCAACTGAGTTAGCAGGGAGCTCTGGTGGCGTAGTGTGTAATGGGCTATGCTGCTAGCCCAAGGCTATGCTTCTTCACCTCCAGCTAGTGAGTGAGTGCGTGATCCAGCTCATATTTTTCTTTTCCTTTGCTTCCCATTTCTGGTAACTATTAAAGAATGTTTCTTTATATGCATAAACCTTTTCTTGCCTTTAAATATATATATTTGTTGTTGTTGCTATGCACAATCAAGTTGGAACCAACCCATAGCTAGCCCCTCTGGTGAGTTTTCAGAGGCAGTTAATCACACAAGAGGAGATTGTCTATCATCTATATCTATATCATCAATATCTAAATCTTTCTATCTATGTATCTATCTATTTGAGTGAAAGTTCACTGACCATATTGGGTTTTTATTTACTCATTTATATACATTTTATCTTAGAAGCGATAAGTGAGTAGGTAAGGAGACACCTGATAACCACCAAGAAACAGTAGCCAGAATAGAGCGTGTCTTTTGGACCTAAAGTCCCTGCACTGAGAACCATTACTCAAGAGCAGACACCCAAAAAAGGACCTTTCTCTCAAGGCAACAGAAATAGAACGTCTTTCTCTACAGCCAGCACCCTAAATTCAGACTTTTAGCCTCATACTTGACTCGATAGTACCTAACAACAATAGCCTCCTATGCTATGAGACACTAAATACATTTCTTATAGCCTTCCATTTGGGATATCTCTGTCATAGTGACACTAAAATACTAAGACAGAATTTAGTGCTGAGGGGACAAAGTGCTGTTCTAACAGTTACCTAAAAATGTGTAAGTATTATATTTTAGGGCATTATTTTTATCGTAGGAGTATGCAATGAGGGTTGCAGAGTGGATTATATTTGGGGGTAGGGGGTGGGGTTTGGGGAGGT